CAAGGTCCACTATATGAGTGAGAACATGTGATACTCAGATCTTTGTTTCTGTAAGAGATCACTCAGTATTATAGACTCTAGTTCCATTCAGGTTGCTGTGAAATTCATGATTTTGTTCTTTTTCATGGCTGCATAGTAGTCCATCGTGTATATGTACCACATTTTTTTTAATCCAATCCTCCTTTGATGGACAGCATGGCTGGTTCCAGGTTCTTGCTATTGTGAACAATGCTGTGATAAACATACATGTGCAGGTAACTTTTTGATAGAGTGATTTGAGTTCTTCAGGGTATATTCCCAGTAGGGGGATCGCAGGGTCATATCGGAGGTTCATAACCATTCTAACATGCTTGAGGTGATGTTTCTTTGAGATTTTAATTTACATTTCTCCAATGATTGATAATATTGAGCATCTTTTTATACACTCATTGGTCATTTATGTGAGAAAATTCTATTTAGATCCTTTACCTATTTAAATTTATTTTATTATTGAATCATATGAGTTCCTTACATATTTTGGATATTAACCTCTTATTGGATATATGGTTTATAAATATGTTCTCCTATTTTATAGGTTGCCTTTCATCTTGTGGATTGTTTCCTTTGCTGTACAGAAACTTTTCAGTTTCAGGTAGTCCCACTTAGTTATTTTTGCTTTTATTGCTTGTGTTTTGGGTATCAAATTCAAAAAACCATTGCATTGACTAATGTGAATGAGTTTTCCTCTATGATTTAATCTAGAAGTTCCATGGTTTCAGGTCTTAGTTTAAGTTTTTAATGCATTCTGAGTTAATTTTTATGTGAAATACAAGAGTCTACATTCGTTATATGTTAAGGATTTCACTCTGTAATCTCATAAAATGCTCTGCACACTCTTCTATCATCTGTTGCTATATGCACTGCTTTCAGAATCTTAACAACTAGGTTCTGAATTAGAGTGACAGAAGGGATGGGACCACTTGAGACTTACATTTATTTCCATAATCTAGTGTTCACCTGTGTGGCTATTGAATGAGAAAATGAAGTTGAGATGTGTTGATAACAATAACACTATGCTAATAACTAGAGGAAGAAAAGTCATTGGGAAAAGGGGGAAAGGGAGCCTACCATTTGGTGTAGCCTGTGAGAGGGTTATAGGAAAGCAGTGGATAGCAGCTACAAAAATCTTGCCTTCATATTCTCCTCAGCCCTACATCTTCATGCTATTAATAACCTACTCCTTCCAATGCAAATTCTGAAACATAGAAAGTCCCAGAGAGACCAAAATCATAGATTCCTGGTCACTGTTAGTGTGGAAGAAGGACCAAGGACTCACGAACAAAATAATCAAACCACATTCCCCCATTTTCTCTCCTTTACACAGATCTCTATAAGACATTAGAGACAGCTAAGTGGTCAGGGGAGGAGAAGTAATGTGGTCAGTAAAACATGGAAGGAAAACTTTAGGGATGATGTGGTCTCTTCAAGCAGCAGAAATCAGGGGGTTAAAGACATATCAGGACAAGAAACTGAAGAGATAAAAGTTATTTATTAGGAATGCTTAATAAAATAAAACACAGCATAAATCCAACCCCCAAATCAAACCTCCACTTGAATCCTGTCCTAAGGTGTGACTAAGATATAGAGAGCAAGGGCTGTTCCCCACATCCATTAGCTGCTTGAAGCCTCACCTTCCTTCATGGAGTTCAATATATAGGTCTATTTCCTGAAGGTTTGAACTAAACACTCATTTCTTTATGTCTTAAATGTCTTGCCCCTCCATGTACCCTTTTGAATGAGAGATTCAGAAATAATTTAAATACACCATTGCAATGAGAATAATTGTTCTTTATTAGGCAGAAGCCAGATGATCAAGGCCCTTCATAATATCCCCGTTTAGTAGTTGGGTTTAGGGGACAAAGGGACCTTGAATAAGAATGAGACAGCAGGAAAGGGAGCTCAGTGGTACTTGTGAGCCAAGGCAGTAGCCACACCAGCCACCACCTTCTGATAGGCAGCCTGAACCTGCGGGGTGAATTCTTTGCCAAAGTGGTGGGCCAGCACACACACCAGCACATTGCCCAGGAGCTGCGGGGAGGAAACACGAGGTTTAAACATGATTAGTAGAGGGCCCAGCTTGGACTCGGAGAATTCCAGCCACATCTCAAACCATGCTTATGATTTTAACTGTAAAATAAAAGCAAAATGATAGCTGGATCTTAGTTCCTACTACCAATACGAAACCCCGATATCAGTCACCATTTATAAGCAGAAATATTCTCCCCTATTGCCTTAACTTAAAAACTAAACGATCACATTTAGAATGCTGCAAAGGAGCATGGTACATTTTATAATCTTTGTCTTGAAGGGGAGAGCATAGAGAAAATGAGAAATAAAACAAACAAACGAATGAATAAAGTATTTTTTAAATTACAAATCCAAAATTATCTTGATTTGATCAATATACAATGTATACATGTATCAAAATGTCACACTGTATCTCACAGTAGGTGCAATTAGTATATGTAAATTAAAAATGAAATAAAAATATAGTAGGTCAATTATACATATACAAATAAGCACACATATATGCCAAATAATAACATTCTAGGCAGAAATGTAAATGCTTTGAGCTGTTTTTTTGTTGGTGGTGGTCACCTAAGTTATCTTGAAGATGTTTCCTTTTGAAAAAATGAAAAGTTAAATTATTGCTAAAAAATAAATTACAAAAAAAAAAAACCCACAAGAATTACACAAGAAAAAACAATGACTGTGAGCACAGAATTAAATAAATTAATGGTCCTGAGGGGGGCACAGTGATGCAATCAGATGTCTCTTTCCTATTCTAAACGGCCCTCACACCTATGCCCCTTCCCCATAACACAAACTTAACCACAGGAAAGAAGAGGAAGGAAAACATCAAAGATTCCATAGACTTACCCTGAAATTCTCAGGATCCACGTGCAATTTGTCACAGTGCAGCTCACTCAGCTTAGCAAAGGTGCCCTTGAGGTTGTCCAGATGAGCCATGCCGTCACTAAAGGCGTTCAGCACCTTTTTGCCATGGGCCTTGACCTTAGCATTGCTCATAACAGCGGCAGGAGTGGACAGGTCCCCAAAGGAGTCAAAGAACCTCTGGGTCCATGGGTAGACGACCAGCAGCCTGAGGGGGTGAGAGGAACCCACAGGACAGAGAGTCAGTGCCTGTCAGAAAGTCAGGAGACTGCTCAGTCTCCACATGCCCAGCTTCCATTTCTCCTTAAGCCTGCCTCATAGCCATGATACTGACCTGCCCAGGGCCTCACCACCAACATCTTCCACGTCTACCTTGCCCCACAGGGCAGTGACGGCGGCCTTCTCTTCAGCAGTCAGATGCACCATGGTGTCTGTTTGTGGTTGCTGGTGAACACGGTTGTGTCAGAAGCAAGCGTGAGCAGCAGCTGGCCCTGCCCTGCCTTTTATGCCCAGCCTTGGCTACTGCCCTTACTGCTCCTGGGAGCAGATTGGCCAAGCCCAGGGTGGGGCTCTGCAGGGTGAGGCCTGAATGATGACAGCTGTACCTGTCCTTGGTAGTTCTGGTACTGGCTTAGAGGTCTAATTTCAACCTCTCCTTCTAAATAGTTCTTGGTCTCATCTCAATGGCATAAATTGCCACTGAAAACATCCTCCTTGGCAAGTTTTTTTAATATAATTTGTGGAATCACAGCCTGGTAAACATATTAGATATTGCTAAGTCAATTTTTGCATAACACAATTGAGGAACTGAGGCAAAGAAAGTGAAAGAAATTTGCCTGCTGATGTTCAACTTTAGAGTATATGGCTAGCTCTCTTCTTACATCTTAAGAAAATGCAAAATCTTTACAAAGACAGAATGAATGAAACTTCTACCTTTGTTCTAAGTATTTCTTCCTTCTGGTTTGTATTAAATCCTGGTAAGAAAATAAATATTGCCAGGCTCGGTGGCTCAGCCTGTAATCCCACGCTTTTGGGAGGCTGAGGTGAGTGGATTGCCCGAGCCCACGAGTTCGAGACCTGCCTGGGCAGGTGAGACCTCATCTCTACAATAAAATCAAAAAATTAGCCGGGCATGGTAAGGCGCGCCTGTAATTCTGGCTACTTGGAAGGCTGAGGTGGAAGGATTGCCGGAGCCCAGCAGGTGGAGGCTGCGGTGGCCGGGAGCGGCCACTGCGCTCCAGTCTGGACGACAGAGTGAGACTCCAACTCAAAAAAAAAAAGAAAAGAAATATTTATTCATTCATTCATTTGCTATTGTTGTTTTGGTTTTCTTAATTTGGTTATCTAGCACAAGAAATTATGTTTACTAAGTAGAATAAGTATGAATCAAATGTGTCCTATCCCATAATTACTCTATTAAGTTTTAGGGATCCAGAGAGAAAAAAGAAACAGACCTCTCAATGCAGTAAAAAATATAAATAAGTAAAATCAATCACAAGCCAAAGTTGTTACTAACCTTGGGGTAAGTAATGGTTTCTAATGGGGGCTAACAGGAGGCATCTAACGGTTTCTGCTTGAACAAATCAGGGAATTTCCTAGGGTAACAGAGAAGCTTCTGTGACTTGGAAGTAGGAAGATAGAAAGGCATTCTAGCCTTGACTCTTAGTATTTTTTTCTTAAGCCACTGAGAATGTTGTCTTTTAGAATTATTTCTTGGATTCATATTCCCGTTTCTCTACATATTTTTGTTTGGTTAAAACTACTTCTTATTAAAATTTTCTCTTCTATCTCCATAACTTTTCCAATATCCTCCTCCTTCCCACCCTTTAATCCTCTGTGTAATAATCTAACTTCTCAAGCTAGGAATAACTTCTGAAGTGTAAAGTTCTGCTCCTTCCATTGAAAGATACAATGAAAACACCACAAGCAAGCAAGTGTTTCTGACCTCAGGGTAGTATCTTAGTATTTCCTGAGGGCCCCACTAGTTGTTCTCTTCATTTGCTATCATCGTTAACTTCTGAACCACTCCCCTTGCTTAAATTCCCAAGTCCTTTCAGCAAGAAAAAGACCATATTTCTTTTGCTTTCCATGTTTCTCCTACCTTAAAGACTTCTTATCCTTTTAGCTTTAACACTTTGAAACTCCAATCTCAAAGATACATCTAGATTAACAAGATGAAAGATGATTTTCTCTTTGAATTTTTCCAAGGAAATTCAAGAATTCTTATTTCCATTGCTCTAGTTTCCAAAGAGCTTTCTTTGTAATTGCTAGATAAATAAAGATGTCTCATCCTTTTTGCCTGTCTCAACCCCATCTTGTACTTGTGAAAAAATTCCACTGTGATTATTCTCAGACAAGTAGGAAGAGTATGGTTTTTCTCTGACTATATAGAGTTTGGGTATATGATTTAAAAGGTGAAAGACATAGTGTTTGAATTTTTTTTGTATTTATTATTCTCTAGAGTCCTGGAGCAATGGTCTAATAATTCTCGTATTCCTGAGAAAATATTTTATATGTTGAATTTAGAGGTAGGGGAGTGACAAAAAAATGGTCTTTGCAATGTTTTGGGTGTTAAAAAATTTTTGACTTGACCTTTAGATTTGGGGTTTGATTTTATTAAATTCAAGCCTGCATTAACTTTGTTATTGTTTTACATTCAGACTTTTCAAGAGTCTATTTTATACCCCTGATGTCAGAGACACGTATGTGTGAAATAAGGCATTCTGGGGAAGTTTGGATATGTCTTTTATGAGAATCTCATGTCATTAAAAAAATAAAGCCCACAAATCTTACTAAAGCATAATATAGGATATGTTTATATATTTTTTTAAAGAACCAAATTTTCATGGCTACAGTTTTAAAACCCTGATTGGTAGAAATTGTCACCTTATTAAAAACATTTACTATTTCTTGTGTTCATAAATGGTTTTCCTAAATTCTTCTATGTTTTTTCCTTCCTTAATATTTGGCCTATGGGCCACTCTCATTTGCAGGCAACAACTGCAGGCAACGTAGTGATTGCTACTTATTATGACTAGACTTTTCCTTTTATTATGCATTTATCTACAGGAACAAGACTGCAAGTTATGATAAGGTTATTAAAAGCTCAAACATACCAGGTAAAAATAAGTCATAAGAAATGATAAATAATGACAAATGTGGCTATGTTCAGAGCTTCAGGCTCAAATCTACATCAGGATTTAAAGATCCTGGAAAGCGACTTAAGCTCACTACCATCCTTACAGTTGGGAGCATGTTGTGAACGAGTCTCGTAGCATATCTGCCATACTGTGATTTCAGCTCCACAGACCACTAAACATTCACATGCACACACATATGCACATTACAAGTCCTCAAAAGAAAGACAGAGAGAGAAACAAAGAGGCAGTATATTTCCTTTACTCCAATCTGTTAATCTTCCTTAAATCCTAATGTTCTATACCAAAATGAGCCCAGTCTGAGTATAATTCAGAGGATGAATATTAACTTACTTCAGAAGAATCCGCCACTCATTCATAGAGGTATGATGTTGAGATTTGTTTCAAAGACAGCACTCAACTAGAATAATTTTGTTCCTATTCTAATGTTTTATCTTAAATTTGCCAAGTGGAATATTTTAGCAATAGAGACTATATTTTCTTGGATCAGGTATATTCTAGTTACTTGTTAGTCTTCTCTCTAAGATGTACTTCAACTTACTATCTGCTCATAATTAATTAACTACTTAAAATAAAATTAAAATGCTTTAAGGCGAGCAGACATCATAGAAACAAACCAAATACACACAAAGTATTTTGAAAATAAAATAGTTTAATTCATTTTAAAAAGTCAGATTTCTCACTAAAAAGCAATAAAGTCACCATAGATACAACTTTGCTAAAGTATATACCTTATTATTAAGGAGCAATTGATATTTGAGTCCATAACGTGTACATTAATATTTCTTCCGTTGGGCTCAAGTTTTTATTCAGAAAGTGTTTTTTTTAAATTTCATTAAGTGCACTATGGTGTTAGTTCATGAAGTGCAAAAGAGGCAGTTTTCCCCAAAGTTAAATGTGAGAGTGCACCTCTTTGAAGTAGAATCTTGGCTTCAGTCTGGTCACACATAGAAACAGTAGGCATAATTCATAAAGGCAAATTTTCGGGGCATTGCTCTAAGACTCAAGAGGTGGCTAACCTATGAAACTATTACAATCAATTCCATTGATATTAAATTATTTTACATAGACACGTTTATGGACTCAAACCTACAATATTACTGTTATTACTGTATTATCTCTCTTGCTTTCCCTTACACACACACACACACACACACACACACACACACACGCACACTCATGTTCAATGGAATATATTGATCTTAGTCTATAAAACAACACCATAGGAAGATTTTTAAAATTTGGCAAATTATCAAATAAAATTAAAATCAAATCTCAAGGAATTAATTCCACTCCTACACTTTTAGAGAAGCTCTACTCTTACAAAGAATGAAAATAACAGAGTGCTAAGTTTTTTCCATGACTTTCTCAAGCACAAATTGAAGCTGTGATGCCTGTTATATAGCAATTGTATATGCTTAACACAAGACCCGTCCAGATGATGGAATTTGACTTCTTTAGCATTTTAATTTTTAGGCTCAACTTTTTGCCTAGATTCATCAACTACCTCCAGAGATGGGGGAATAGAAGAGGGTACAGACCATTTGGAGAAAAGAAGAGTAGTTTATTTTCTTCTTTCAAGATCATAATGTCCACAATCTCTCTTATACTCTTTCAAATATTCTAAAACTATCTTCGCCTAACATCTAATTCTTATAAGGCTATCTCGATGTTTAGGAGTGTAAAAGTAATCTTCCTAAAACTGCCCTGGAGTAGCTCTGCTTCTGGAAGGTGAACAAGTGGCTCTTAACGGTCCTTTTCAGATATAATGGTTGCTCAGTATCTATTATATACAGTAATCTAGGAAGAAAAATAATATGGATATGAAAGAGACTCCGCCTTCAGGAATTGGTATTCAAAGTCACTGCAGTGAAGACAATAAGTTGCAATGCACTGTCAGCATATCCTGGCAGTACAGAGTTAGTATGAAAGCTCCTTTAGACACAATAAAGGTCCTTTAGACACAATAAAGCAGCAAGTTTTGCTGAGGTGATCAAGCAAGGCTAAAATAAATCAAAAGGAATATGACATAGATTTAAGAAAATGCATATAAGTTAGGAGATTCTAAAAATACTTCTGGTTTCAACAATGGCAAAAATAGTGCTCAAAGAAAGACATTTTACTACCTAAAATCAGAAAGTTAATGACTACTTAGGGTTGTTTACTTTCCTGCATGCTTCTTCATTGTATATTGTAATACTAACACAAAAGGAATTCTATGTGATGGTCTCATTATCCACATTGTTCTCTAGTCCCAGAAATTCTAAAACAAGAAATAATTATTCATTTATTTGCTGGTTATTTTATTGAATAAATATGCACTTACAGACTATGGACTCGCAAAATACAAGACACAATAGGCAACATGCAAGGTAGTAAAAATAGGCAGAAAAGTCTATAAAGCACGAAGCGTGTGCAAGTGTGTATGTGTGTGTGTGAGAGAGAGAGAGAGATGGATGAGAAAAAATATTTTAAAAGGGTGAAGGGGAAGGTTTTGGAAAGATTTCCTTAGGCATTACTAGAAAGGTTATTGAGGCTGGGGTCAAGAGAGTTCACAAATAATATGTGAGCATTGAATCTTGCCTACAATGGAGCAGAGGTGAGAGGGAATTGTTTTTGGAGGTATTTTGAGTCAAGTAAGAAAGACAGGTTATTTATTAGAGCAGGGACCCCTGATGGGGTACCATATTATGGATTAAAAAGTTCAGGAAAAGGAAGTAGGAAAAAAGGGAACATAACAAAACCTTGAGCAATCATTATGCCTCTAATTGAGCACATTATTACCCTCAGTAATTGTTGGAGACGTATCAAAGTGTTAACCTTGAGGCCATGTCTCACGTTTGAAGTCCCCAATAGAGCCCCTGCTGTGCCAATATCCTCTCTATTTAAAATAAACTGGGCCAATACCCATTTTTTTTCCTGTCCTTATCCTAGCTCAGATTGATCCTAGGTTATTCTCACCAGTAAATATTAAGTACAGATATGCATGTATGTTTATAACATGTATATATTATATACTTAAGTACATGGGCCAGGCTCGGTGGTCCAGGCTGTAATCCCAGCACTTTGGGAGGGCAAGGCGAGTGGATTCTAGACACATTTTATGCTTTGGAGGTAGAAGTGCCATCCATTAGTGTCTGTGTATGTCCCCTTCCTTTTCTTGTTTCCCTTTAGCTTTTTGTATAATACACAAGAACTCCCTATCTGTAGACCCTCAGTGACTTTCTCATATCTTATTTTATATTCAGACTAAAATATAAAATAAATTAAATGAATCCAGACGTTGAGCTGAAAGTTCTTTATTAGGCAGGAGCCATACCCTTGAAGTAGGCATTATTCCCCCAAGTTTGGAAGATAGAATCTAGGGAAATAAGGTCTTTCAGTGGTCACCAGGAAACAGAACACAATATTAATGGTACTTGTGAGCCAGAGCAGCAGCCACACCAGCCACCACCTTCTGATAGGCAGCCTGCAGCTGTGGGGTGAATTGCTTGCCAAAGTGGTGGGCCAGCACACACACCAGCACGTTGCCCAGGAGCTGTTGGGAAAAGGTAAAAAGATACATATGTATGGTTAACAGATAAATCAAGATGGGCTTCTGAGAAACTGGGCCAATACCCATTTTTTTTCCTGTCCTCATCCTAGCTCGGATTGATCCTAGGTTATTCTCACCAGTAAATATTAAGTACAGATATGCATGTATGTTTATAACATGTATATATTATATACTTAAGTACATGGGCCAGGCTCGGTGGTCCAGCCTGTAATCCCAGCACTTTGGGAGGGCAAGGCGAGTGGATTGCCTGAGCCCGTGGGTTCGAGTCCAACCTGGGCAACTTGGCGAGACCTCGTCTCTACAATACATAAAAAAAAAAAATAGCCAGGCACGATGCCACACGCCCATAGTTCTGGCTACTTGGAAGGCTAAGGTGGAAGGATTGCCAGAGCTCAGCAGGTCGACCCTGGGGTGGTGGTGAGCGTGCCACTGTACTCCAGCCTTGGCAATGGAGTGAGACTCCACTGCAAAAAAAAAACAAAATAAAGTATATAGCATATGCATGTGTATACGTATATAAAAATGAGTTGATTAATTAGAGTGATGATGGGCTGTCTCTTAGCAATGACTGCTACCCCACTTTCAATATAACCTTCTAATCTTTCATTCTCTAATATTCACTTTCTTTTCCTTTTATTTCCATTTACTTCCAACTGTATAAAACTCCAATTATTTTTTTAAAAATACAATTAGTAGCCTCTAAAACAGCATCTTATGCCTCTCTGCCTTGCGTTGGATTCTCCTTCCATTCCTATTTGTTAAGGACAAAATAATTTTTTCCAAGTGTGGTTAGGGAAAAAAAATATTGAGGGGTTGTTGGCAAGGAGAAAGAAGCAAAAGATATAATATTAAATTAAGAAATTCATAGAAAAACAAGGTGGTAAGAAAAAAACATACAGAATATTGAAAGAAGAAAATAATAAATATTTGAAATGTATTAAATGGTGAAATAAAGTAAAAAGGAATATGAAGGAAGAGTAGACAGATAAGTATAAGAACTGGAGGGAAAGACTCAAAAGCAAAAGGACAAAGAAGAACATCTCCTGGACTTACCCTGAAGTTCTCAGGATCCACATGCAGCTTGTCACAGTGCAGCTCACTCAGTTTAGCAAAGGTGCCCTTGAGGTTGTCCAGATGAGCCATGCCGTCACTAAAGGCATTCAGCACCTTCTTGCCATGGGCCTTGACCTTAGCATTGCTCATAACAGCGGCAGGAGTGGACAGGTCCCCAAAGGAGTCAAAGAACCTCTGGGTCCATGGGTAGACGACCAGCAACCTGAGAGGGTGAGAGGAACCCACAGGACAGAGAGTCAGTGCCTGTCAGAAAGTCAGGAGACTGCTCAGTCTCCACATGCCCAACTTCCATTTCTCCTTAAGCCTGCCTCATAGCCATGATACTGACCTGCCCAGGGCCTCACCACCAACATCTTCCACGTTCACCTTGCTCCACAGAGCGGTGACGGCGGCCTTCTCATCAGCAGTCAGATGCACCATGGTGTCTGTTTGTGGTTGCTGGTGAACACGGTTGTGTCAGAAGCAAGCGTGAGCAGCAGCTGGCCCTGCCCTACCTTTTATGCCCAGCCCTGACTCTTGCCCTCCCTGCTCATGTGAGCAGATTAACCTAGGATATGGCAGAAATTGATTGGTTTGTGAGAATAAAAAAATGCACCCTCATTCCACTGCTCCCTTCAATTTACCCTGAGATAAGTTGTTTTTGTGTTTTGACTCAGAAACCTTGTCCTCCTCTATTTATCTCCCAACTGCATCTCCCTCTGCAGTTGTTTCTAAAAATATACTCCTAGTTTCAATTACACATAAATGTTTGAGCCTGATACAGTGAAGTCTTAGAATTTAATTCATCTTATTCTGTCACTTTTTACTTGAGAAAACAGGCTTATAAAGCAGAAGTGTTAAAAAGTTGACTCTATAGAAAGTTCCTCTTTGTCTCTAGACATTTTTGCAAAAAATAATTTTTAAAATGGTTGGAATGGATTAATAAGTTGCCATAGTTTTAATTGCCCACTTCTTCCTTTTTTGAGTAGATCCTTCTAATAATAAAATTCTTATGTTTTTTTCTTTACTGAAAAAAATGTCCACTAAAAGAACAAAAAATAAAATAAATAGTGTCTCTCTACCAGGTACTGAAATTGGTTTGGGGAACCTGGATTATAAAAGGAATATTTTAATATGCAATAAAGATAAACACCTTATACCTATAACATAATTGTTTCAAGTGATGATATTATTGAGAAAGAATGTAGAAGAAGTGCAAAACAGATTTACCATATTCAGTCAGATTATGCCTGATGAGGTTTCTGATAAATTGTTAGTACAGAATTTTTACAACTGGGCTAAAACAAAACAAAGCAAAATAACAACAACAACAACCAAAAGTGGAGTTAGACTTAGGAATAAAGATTCTGAGGGCGTTTTACTCCTTCACTTTCAAATTAATGCTACAATACACACCAGCATGATAGGGAGGAGGGAGAGAGGGAGAGAAGGATGGAAATAAAGAAATCTGTGCTCTCCAAGTGCTCACAATTTAGTATAGGGGAATAACCATGTAAACTGTTCAAACTCAGTCTTCTTTCACAAAATTGTATGATTTTATTTATGTGTAGAATCCTAACATTACTCTTGCAAGCATGGCCCTCTTCTTGTGTTCTTAAAAGAACACAGTAGGACTAGTGATTAAAAGATAGGGACAGTGTGGCAATAAATATTTGCATGCATACCTAATGGAATACTATGCAGCCATAAAGAAAAACAAAATTGTGAACTTCTCAGCTACTTGGAGTTGGAGACCATCATGCTAAGTGAACTATCACAGAAACAAGGAACTTAATACCACATTTTCTCACTTATAAGTGGCCCTGAACGCTAGTCACATTAACACAAGGGTAGCATTGCCAGTCTCTGGGCACTGCAAGAGGAAGGAGGGAGAGAGGACAGTGGGGGACACGTGATAACACAAAACATACCTGGTCCACTACCAAGAGGAGTGAGGATCAGTTAGAAGCCCAAACTTCATCTACATGCAGCCTACTTATGTAGTTAATCCTCACTTGTACCCTACATCTTAATAATAATAATAATTACAGCAATGATAAAGTTAGGGACAAATTTAAGTAGGACTGAATTACTGATTGCATTTAAGAAAATAGAAGAAGCCAAAAAGACTTTGAGTCTCTGGTTTTGGTGAACAAATATATGGGTACCAATTGAATGAAATTGAAAATATTAGAAGAGAAACTGTTTAGGTAGAAAAAGTGAAATACCCATGCTGAGTTCAGGTGTCTATAGGACACCCATGTAACTGAATTCAGTGGACAGTTTGATGTATGAATTTGTCACTGAGATCAAAGTTTAGAGCTGGAAATTAGACTTGGAAAATAGGATTATACAGGATGAATTTAAGAATCTATATATAATTATAATATCCAAGAATGAGTGTGATTAATACAAAGCTGAGTGGATCAAGGAAGAACTTTAATGAACACCAACATTTAATGCAAAATCCCAAGGTAATGTAAAATAAGATAAAGTCCCCAAATTGCCCAATGATTTTAGATCTCTTTATTGACTTTAATTAGTCCAATGCCAATTTTGGCTAGTATGGAAGTCAAGTTACTGTTGGTTTCAGAGTAAACAGGAGGATTTTGGAAGTGAAAAGCTTAAATTTAACCAAAAAAAAAAAAAAAAAAAAAGGAGAAAGGAAAGAAGGGGACATATGTAAAGAGAATGGGCTTCAAAATATGGAAGAAATAATAAGGACTCTATGGCCATGCAGACATGGCGTTCAATACTTCTACTTGTTTTACCAGCTTGCTAACCTGAAAAAAATTACTTTAATTATCTGAACTTTAGGAAACTCAAAGTAAACTCAATAATCAATCCCAGTGACTGAATGAATTAACTACACTAATCCTACTTTACTGTCTTGCAAAAGGTAATCGAACCTAATTTATAATGTTTAGATAATAACCTTCAAGAAATATATTCATATGCCTATAGCACAAAGTTTGAGAGGCATATTTTAAGTATCAGTAAGTGACATCGTTAATGTTATTTTTGCTTCTCAAATACCAGTGTTATCCAGGATTCTACTTTCAGATCACTTTTCTTGAATTCCTTATTTCTATATTATCTCATTAAAACATGAATCATTGCATTGATTATTTCACACTATAATTATTCACTTACTATACACATCTTGGTTTCCTTCTGTCTATTGATTCCCATTCTGCTCTCAAATGTATTCCTCAGCCTTCCCATGATGTTCTGTATATTTGGAGAATTGAGATTTTCCAGGTTCCCTCACCCCTTGAGCTCCATGTGTGTTCTGCTGCGGTAAACACTGGCTAAAGGAAGGCATAAGCAAGATTGTTTTTGCCTTCCTCTCTCTCTGCCTGATTAGGTCTCCAATAGCTGACAGTCTCTTTTATGATTCCCATTTGACAGTTCTGGCTGTCTCCAGGGAGTCTTCACTGTCTTACTCACTCCACTACATTTCTGGTTCTGGACCCTGGTAGTATAAACATTTCCTCCCTCGTTCCTTCTAGGCCTAGGAGTGAAAGAAGCTGTCTAACTTGCTAACGTCTAGATTGCTGCATTGTACCCTATTTCACTCAGACCACATGTATAACTTGGTTTTCAGTTAGAAAACAAAAATAAGTTCATTGAAATGACAGCTAACAGACTACTCCATAGGCAGAGCAGCCTGGACTAGTCTGTAGGAAGCACAGCCTAGCTATTCAAACATGTTTTAACCAACTAGCTGTATTTAATTATCTATTGAAATAACTGACCATGGTTTATGGGTTTTTTTTTTTTTTTTGATGGATTCTAACTGATATACCAAATTAACTGATTTTTATACTATGTCTTATTAGTATTTGAATTTCTAATGTGAAAACACATTAGAAAAGTATTTCACATTTGCACATAATTTTGATCCAACATACTTGTTGGCTAATCCAACTATAGGAGAGAAAATTAAGGAAAAAAATTTCAGCAACTGCATAGAGGCAGAGAAAGAAACCTCATTATTTATAAATACTAAAATATCATTTTAAACTAATATTTCCTCATTTTAAGGCTCAGAAAAACTTTTCTAGGAGTAGTGAAATAGTCCTAATGTAGAAAAATACAGTTCTAATCTTGAAATAACTTTTTCATTCCTTCATTTCCAAATAGTAGGGAATAAAAATTTACAAGATAAAATCTGTGCCATAAAGGAGGTTAATATTGAGTGGTGGAAATACTCAATAAGCAAATTAGGTCCACTAATAGAAAAAGTACTAAGTTTTTTAAAACAGAAAGAGACCATAAATGTAGCAGAGTTTATAGACATGGCTTTCAACCCAGTTAAAATAAGGAGAAAAATGTCTTCTTAGTTGAGATGGCATTTAAGTCAAGACTTAGAGCATAAATACGTGAGAGATTGGGCAAAGTGAGAGAGAAAAGTCACCCACAGTGAATGAACAGCATGCACAAAGCTAAAGGAATCATACGTGAAAATCCAAATTCTCTCCATTGACTGGGGTAATTTTGTCAGTGCATTTAAGTAATCATCTGTGACAGTGTGTGTTCTTATGTTTGCATGGAATATTGATGCATGGGACACACAAAATTGTATAGGTATATATACATACTTCTGAGTGTATACCAGAGAGCGTCTATGTTGCTACAAGACTGTGTGCCAATATCCATGTTTTATGTCAGTTTTGCATGCTCTTCTTGTGTACCAAAGTGTATATTTATGTGTTCATAAGTAAAGGTGTATGTGAGAATTGCTCAGTGAGAAATGAAGAATAACTAACATAGGAATTTGAACCCCCATCTTAGTTTAGAAGACAGCTTGACCTAATAAGCTGATTCTTGAATTTCAGTTTTTGAAGTTGCCATTTGCTCACATGAGTGGTCTTTTATTTTCACCAAGTATCGATTGGCTTCAATGCTGATTGCTATTAATATAGATAAATATAAAATGAAACAAACCATAAAAAGCATATATATATATTAATTCTCTATGTATATAGATATAAAACAAAATAATCAAATCATCACCATTAAAAACAATAACATTATATATTTATGAAAGGAGAAAAATAGAGAAAGAAAGACTGGGAGAGATTCTGTACCCGGTAGTGTGATAAAGACTTTACAAATTTTAGTTCATTTATTTCTCGCAAACATATTTTAAGGAAAATTAACATGATAAATCAGTAAGACTTTAGAGAATTAGAAATATGTTGCAGATCACAGAGTTAGTAGATGGCGTGCAAATAAAAACCAAGTCAGTCAGTCCCTATGCCTTAGAGGTTGGTCCCTCTTAATACTATTGTAGGGCAAGATGGCAACAGGACAAGTCCAACTATTAAGATCTCCACGGGGGGTGGATCCTGAGGGCAGTTCCACATGCCCATGCAGCCTCCGCCTACTTGGGGGGTGGCTGCTGTGACCAGTCCCATGCAGCAAACTGCCTCCTTCGCATTGCAGTCTCTGCAGGCAGTTGCTGCTGTGGTGGTTGCTGGGTGCTGAAC